ATCAATGGTCCCACACATATGAGAAAGGTCACACCCAGGACTTAGTATTAACTAGGGAAACTGACTCTCTGATACTGGATTCTGATTGGTCACTTCATTTCTGATCATGCCATACTCAAATGCCTCTTAAACTCAGTTAAACCACAGTTATCCAAGAAGCTGATTACTTACAGAAAGCTCAAAGATGTCGGTATTAAGGCATTTAAAGATGACCTCGCTTCTGCTGTGCTTATGCAGAATTCTACTATTGACTCAGCTGATCTCGACCTCATTGCTGACAAGTACAACTCTTCTCTCTCCAAGCTACTGAATGATCATGCTCCATCAAGCACCAAAGTAGTCATCGACAAACCCAGCCTATCCTGGTTCAACAGTAAAATCTGAACAGCGATTGTTGCCAGACGACGTGCTGAGCGAAAATCGTGCTCTACCAAACAGGACGACCATCTAGCCGGATTTAAAAAGGCAAAGAACTACCCTACTATGATGCTCATGAATAAAGCCAGATCTCTTCACCTGACCGACCTTGTAAATGAAAACTGCCATGATCAGCACAAGCTCTTCAAAACTGTGAACTCCTTGCTCTCTGACTCTTAAACTTTATCACCGCCCGCTAGCACAGATTCTGAAGATGCAGCCAATAATATCAGGAACTACTTTGTTCAAAAAGTTAATGGCATCTACAAACACTTCGTGCAAGACAACGAAGACACTACAGAGCATCCAGATGACATCATTGACAATGCTACACCACTTTACCACTTCAAAGAATTTACCAAGTATGATGTCAAAGCAATCATAAACAAGACTTCCAAGAAAGGATGCTCATGTGTCGTATTTAGGACATCAAAATGTTGCCACATCACACCTTTGTTAAAAGAGTTGCACTGGCTGCCTGTCACCTACAGAGTACAATTCGATATCATCCTWATTACTTTTAAAGCATTGCATGACATGGCTCCCTCRTACATATCCAAACTGGTACACATCAGACAGAACTCTAAATACAGCCTTCAATCCAACAATGCAGTATTGCTAACTACACCACTAACAAAATCGGCAGCAACTCTGGGAGATAGATTGTTTGGTATGGCATCACCAAAATTATGGAATTCTCTCCCTGCCKAAATCAGGAACATTCATAATATTGATAATTTCAAAAAACATTTAAAGGCACATTTTTATYRTTTAGCATTTTGATGAACTTATCACTGACTCTATCGAATACCACAGTTTTATAATATTTAACATTGTATATAGATATTTATATTTATTTACATTATATAA